CCACCAGCTATTATGTCCTAAGCACTGAAACAGAGTTCACAAGTTCAACTTACATTCTCATTATGACTATGCAGACAATCGTAAGGTATAATTTTTTTGCATATGTACATATTGCATAATCAGTCTGTTTACTTACATCTAGCAATGTAAGGGAATAACTAGCCATGTGCATCAGAGCAAAAAGAAAAACTGGTGTGAGCACCACTGTATACGAATCAGTTCAGGATTCAATTTTGTTATTATTAAAATAATTCTTTTATCTCAAAAGTAACATAAAAAATTCAGTTGTCAGGAAAGGAAAAATTATTTTTTAACTTGACAGAAAATTAATGACTAATCAAAATAGTATCGGTAAAAAGAATATACTCTTAATACAAATGTCATTTCTATCATTATCATTTTGCGATCTTTAAAAAAAATCCTTTTTAAATTGTGACGATTTTTTTAAACTATCCTTTTCTAGTTGTGTCAATTTTGATGATTTTTATGAAGTTAAGTTAGTTATTACAGTTCAATGTGCTAATTTTTTACTTAACTCATTCATGGTAATAACTTGAAAATCACATTTTTGTTGGTTGTCACTTCTTACTTAAGAGAGCGATATGAAACATTTAAGAAATTGCTTGAACAGACTATACATAAATATGAGAAGGATACATGTAACTGGCGCCGCGTATAAAAATATCAAGGAGTAGAACAAATAGTGGCACGAATCTTCCAACAGCAACGTCTCCAAAAATTGTCTTGTGAGCTGAACGCGGGGAACTCTTTGATGTAGACGTAACGCACTAGTTGCCGCATTATTCATTAATACCTTATAGTATATATTATAGGGATTCCTGAAACAAAATCGTAATTTAATTCTCTGAGGTTGAGATAGGTCTATTTGATCCGTTCAATTATATTCCTTTGGAATTAATGGGTTTATTGAATCCATCTAATAGATCTCTTTGTAGAAAATTGCAAACAATTCTATTTTTTTAAGTTACATTTGCACAAAAATTAGGATTATTCTTGTTAAAACATTCTTAACATTCATTTTTTTTGTCATTTTCCTTAATTTCAAGTTCTTGGAAATTAATGCCTTTTAACCTTTATACAGAATGAAAATCTTACAGTTTTTTCTTGAATAAGATTTGTTATAATTTATTTTATTATTATTATTATTATATCTATTGCAATGCACGACAAAGTTAAAAAATTAAGTGACAAAAAGAATTACAAGAGAAATAGAAACGCAATACATATTATTTCATTGTATTTCATGCTTTAAAATATGACATTGTCTCAGCGCCACTATATGTGACCTTCCCATCTTGTAGATCAATTAACATATATTAATGGATTCCATAGACCTAGTGTCACTAACTAGTAACTATATTTTGGCATCAGTTCCAAAAGGTTCTCAAACAGAACACAAGTTATCATTAAAATTACATCAAAATGACTTCAAAATAATCACTAAGTCGCTTTTCAATCATTTATATTTTATTTTAATGTCATTTTGACATTATCAAGATTTGTTGTTCTGCTTGGATTAAGGAACTTCATAAAAAGTAAGTGTTCTAGCTCTAAAATTATGAAAGATTATAAGTACCCAAATATAGGAATAATGTAACCGATGGTGAATATTATGGTGAAGAGTCTCGTGACCCATAATCCAAATTTAATCTTATTGTCTACAATATGCTGTTTCAGGGCTGGCCATCCCTTTTCGATTTGTGGCGACGAGTCGCTGGATCCGCTACTTGCGTTATCCACCATCCTGAAGCTAAAAAGAAACAGAATAAGAGTAACCTATGATTTAAAAAACCATGATTAAAAAAACAATTATATCAACATGTATACAAAAAAAAAACATGTTTGCATTAAAAACTTATTTCCTCGAAGTTGATTATATTTTGAAACAAGGTAATTATAAAAATAAGCGAATTTATTGGAATTTTATTGATCAATTTTATTGATCAACATCTAATAAATTTGCTCAATTTTGTAATTTTCATCTTGTTTCAAGATATACAATCAATCTCTAGACCGACGCAATCAACTTTCTCCTCTCGGTGGAAATATTAATAGAATTTAGGCTTGATTATGTATTTTGAAACAAGGTGAAAATTACAAAAGTGAGCAAATTTATTGGAATTTTTTTTTTTATTGGAATATTTATAATCTTTGATCAACATCTAAGAGTCAATTGTGTATCTTAAAAATTACAAAAGTGAGCAAATTCACAAGATGTTGACCAATGTATAAAATTACAAATATTTTAGTGAATTTGCTCTTATAATTTTCACCTAGTTTCGAGATCGACTCTCTCGATGGAAATATTAATATTGTTGATTTTCGGAAGAAACCTGTTTTTTAAATTCATTCAAATAAGCGTGAAAACTATGCAGACTTATAGAATTATAAAAAAAAAAGGTGCGCCTTTGCGTGTCGTAAGCATCGCGCGTTTCTAAAGTGAAAGTGGCCAGGCTTTATGCGGGAAAGTTGTTTCTTTTTGGACGAGAAATGAACTCACGAGCCGTTGACGCGTAAACGTCAACGAGCGAGAATTTCGGTTCGGGATTCATGTCTGAACGGCATGTGTAAGCAGTTTTTTTTCTCCGCACGCAGCGCGACGTACACAAGTCACACGATTTGGTAAATTACATCGTCATCCGGATGACACCGCTGTATTCGTATCGTGAAGGTCTGATCTAAATCGGGCGAACCGAACTTTAATTACGCTTACACGCTGCACGCTCCACACGACGACGCACAGGATACTCCAGTGGTGTTCTACACGTCAGTTACGACAGCAAACAATCGCACGAGTCAGGAATCCACCTATTCGGAACATCTACGTGTCTAACGAGCCGAGAAATCCAACTTCCGACTTCCGACAACCTCGCGAATATTGGCTGATATTGGCGAATGAATATCGTTTCCGTAAATCTCCCGTTCGCAGATGTCGCACGATGTCTGCGACACGGTGCCACCTTCAGTCAAAATTAGCAACTTTTAATCAGATTCGATAATTAACTCGACCGATGATTAACTTATCGGGCAGAATTATTCATTAGCAATTAGCAAATAATTAACTTTTAAGGAGATGCTAGAGCAACGCGCGACCGAACTTAATCGAGGTCGATAGTACACATCAGACTTTTTAATTCCAAAAATTCGATAATATAGTGACATCTTTAATTCATTTCTTATATTTATTACATATCATAGTGGCTGCGGTCCACTTGACGCTACAAACGTTTCGAAGCGTTCTTTGATTAGTTAATTCGTAAAATTCTTTGTTCTGATTGGTCGCTCAAACGCTTCGAAGCGTTTGTAGCGTCAAGTGGACCGCAGCCAGTGTCTCACTCAAACGCATTTATCTGTCCTTATCTAACATATTGCAACGCCATTTCTTGAAAGATCGAACATCTGCTGCTAAACGCGTATCAAGTACTCGGTGTAAACTAAGCCATAGTCGCATAAACGTATGCATAACGAAAATTATTCAATCACATTTTACGTGCGTCTTTATAAGAGAAATGCGATTGGATAATTTTCTTTATCCCGGATCTACAATAGATTTTTAAGCCTTAAGCCGTAAGAAATTGACCAATTACAGTCGAATCCGAGAAGAATAAGCGACTGTGATTCGCCCATTTCTTATGGCTTAAGGCTTAAGGGCTATTCCATACAAACTTGCAGAGCCGCATAACCATGTGCATAAAGAAAATTATCCAATCACATTTCTGTCATACAGACAAACGTAAACTACGATTGGATGATTTTCTTTATGCATATGTTATGCGACTATGGCATATACATACGACTAATACACACTGCGTATTCCACAATACATGATTTCTGATAGGTTGAAATTCTTATTCTCTGTTCTCTGTTTCCTATTTCTTTTATTGGGTGGCACCCAGTTGGACACGGCTCAATTGGACACGAGCCACTCACAGCGATTGAGACTACAAAGCTTTTAAGCACCGGTCGCTGTGATTGGTGGTGTCCAATCGAGCCGTGATCAATCGGGATCACCCCCTTTTATTGTGCGGAGCCCCTAATTTTCAGCATTGTAACGTCAGGTAAAAACCGAGCCTTACCCCGGATCTACAATAGATTTTTAAACCTTATGGCTCCTGCACACTGGGCGCGGAAACGCTTGCCACGCGGCAAAATGAGACGCGGTAACCAATGAACACATTAGGAGCTGTAAGCTTATTGACTACCGCATCACATTTTGCCGCGCGGCAAGCGTTTTCACGTCCAGTGTACACCATTAAGCCAGAATCAGACTACGCATTGAAGAATGAGATTGAAGATTGAAAGATTGAAGTTTGACCAACAAGAACAAAATAAACCAAAATTTCTTTGTCTTTATTGGTGAAATTTCAATCCGGCGCGTTCAAGTTGACAAAGCGGCTAGCCAGCTCGCCGAGCAAATGAACATAATTGGTTGTTACTTATAGATCCAACCAATCATATACAATCGCTCGATAAGCATGCCTAGCCCCTTTGTCGTCTTGAACTCGCCCAATCTCTCGTTGAACAGAGTATAGTATACATAACGGGAACTATAGATTTTCAGTACTGGCAGTCAATTGGCACTAATATACGAGCATGGCCCTAGATACTACAGGGTTGACTCACTAACTTCAATTAACCGATTGTTACATTGGAATTGACCAATCGCATTTGTTATTCAACAGAATTGATCAATCACGGTTGACACTTAATCGATTGTTTCGGTTAATTGAAGTTGATAAGACTAATCCATAGAATTCCAAAAATACAAGCGTGCATTTATTGATAAAAGCGCAATCTGTGTATGAGCTAAAAAATCGGAAGTTTCTTATTTTAATAAAAATTGAATAAAATAATATCGCAAAATAATAAATACAATTTTACAACAGTCCTTGATTCTTATTCTTCAATAAATCTAACTCGAGAAAAATCGAGAAAGATCGAATTTGTCACTCGGAGTTGAAGCTGCACATGCGTCATCCGTATCAGCTGTTAGTAGTAGCAGACTACTTTAGCTGTGTTGCAAATTTACTGATAGCGCTGTTCTACCATTTACATATGTTAGAAAGACCAGTACGATCCGAACACAAGGAGTTTATAAAAGAAAATCGAAGCCTAGCATTCTGGTATCGTCAGGTTGTATTTTTTATTACCATTTTGCGAGGATCATTGTTCCGTGTACGATCATTTAAATTTATTTTAATGCAAATCCACACATTGTATACACCCATACACTTCAGTGAAATGTGGAGACTATGAAAAGACATGTGAATGAAATTATATATATATGTACATTACGTATGTTCAAATAATAAGTCATTTCATTCTTTAGAGAAATAGATATGATTGGCCAATTTCATAACATCGATGTTATAATTTCAGCATAAATCGAGTCGTGTAAACGTAGTCTATACAGGGTGTTCCATTTTAACGTCCCACCCCAAATAACTTTTTTATTTTTGATCTTAGAAAAAAATGTTTTAGACAAAAGTTGTATGGTTTAGAGGGGGACATAAGATTGTACCGTTGGTTTGACCTTGGATAGTCATTTAAAATCACGTGAAGATCAACCTTCAATTTCTTAAATGGGAACCCCCATTTTTCATTGCATATTCTTGTTCTTGTAGCTTACCTCGAGAGCTTCCCAAAACACTATACAAAATATTTTTTGATTAAGTATTTCTCGAGTTATAAGGCTCGAATGTTACATCAGTATCGCTGGCATAGCATTACGCAAGGTGTCTTTAGCATTACCCACGGCTAAAACCTTTTGAATGTTATTCAGAATCATGTTTAATAACATTTGTCGAGATCAAGATCATTGGAGATTGTACCTCTTATTTTCATTTTTGCACTAAAAATTCATTTTTACGTAAATAGTGTTTTCCATATGGTGACATAAATCAATACAAATAAAACATCGTTCTGTCTTCGTTACTCATGAAATGCAAAGATAGAATGACGTTTGTGTTGACTCATATCCCTGGCGGAAAAATTTTTACGAAAAAGTACAGAAAAACTACATAAGTTGAGATTCATCAATTAAAAAATTTTGTAAAAATATTCGGCATACGTATGTGGAATCGCGTCGTCACACAGCAGAATTTTTTAACTATACAATCCATTCGAGTTCCATTTTGAAATTTTCAGGGTTATTTTATAAATTGAAATGGGAATATGATATTTTTATAAAATTTTTAAATTAATGAGTTGATAATGAAAAATGTTAATAAAAAATGTAAATAAATGGAAAATTATTTATTTATACGAAAAAACGATAAAGTAAAAATAATCTATCCATAGTACAATTTAAAATCTTTATAAAATCGGTCTCTTGCATTTTTTGTATGACTAATGGTTTCAACGATATATTTGAATGTCGCATATAATTATTTGAATATAATTATTTTTTGTATGACTAATGGTTTCAACGAATTATTTGAATGTCGCATATAATTATTTGAATTGAGCGACATTTTTGTAAATTTTTGCAATTTATAAGTGTAAATAACTTCATAAAAAAATTGATATTTTTTTCACGAAACACGTATCTCATATTTTTATCTATAGAATATGACAAATTAAAAAAAAAAAGAAAATAAAACTGACAATATTTCAAAGGTGCCCGGTTTCACAATGAGATATCGAAGATTTGCATGAAGAAGTCATGTAAAAAAATACGTCAAGAAATATATGTGAAAAACACGAGGGGGTAACCACTTAATGTAATCGTGGGACAGAATCCTCGAAATCATTGTAAAATTTATATAAAATCTCTATGTATAATCCGATAATTATATATGCAACCACGAGAAATCATTGTATAATATTAAATAAAATAGTATATTTTACCAAATTACTTCATAGTAGTGAAAAAAATTATTTGTAATCAGATGAAATCATGTAATCTGTGGGACAATATTTCAGCTAGTGGTTACCCCCTTGGAAAAACACATCGTCGTACATTTTATCGTCAAATGAATCACTTATTTCCTTATCTCTCATAACTTGTGCAACGTAAAAGTGTAAGATGATTTACGAAAAAAATTTTGTAAGGATAAGTATCGGCTATTTTTATTTCATACGATAATCCGAATTCGAAAAATTGTAGAGATAGACGAAAGAAGAAAATAAGATTTTAAAAGCCCAGAAAACTTTATAATTTCGATATTTTTTAATACGAATTAATTTTTCGTTTTGAAAGAAACACTTAGCTAACTTATGTCAACATATGTTATTACATTGTCTAATTAAAATCAACCAATTAATAAATACAATTTTACATTTAATCGTGTAAAGAAGGCAAAAAATCATAAAATAGATGTGAATAAAACTGATGAAAATAAAAACTGTATTTTTTCCTAGTGCAATAATAATACAGTTAATTGAAAAGAAGTAGAGGCAAAAAGTAATATAAAAGGAATATAAATAGAAATTCAAATGAATAAGAACACTTTAAATTGAAAATACTAAACTTGAAAAGAAGAGTAGAATTTATCTAATTACAGTAAGAAAAATGTACTTGTAGAAGATATATTTTGTTTTGTATCTTTACGCATCTTTTTAACATTTTTAAATACGTATATTATTTACATGACAATAGTTAAAAAATATGACAGTTGGAGCATCGGGCACCCATTCAGTGAGCATTATTATAAGGAAGAATTCTTCAAGATGACTTTTTAAAGACTTTTTAAAAACCCCATTAAAATCTTTTGAAAATTATATTTAAAAAATCATTCTATAAAATGTCTTTCAAGGCTGCGTTCCGTAAAGCGCATGATGCATCATTTTATCCTTTATCACTGAATAACCCTTAGCGGCCACACCTCAGCTCGGCCACACCGGGGTACATAGCTAAAAAAATTAGTTGTACAAGATATATGGATATTTTAAGATTTCTAATCGATTGTTTCATGTTTGTTGAACAGTTCTTCAACATTTCTAATGATTTATATTAGTCAATTTATAGATGGCGCTCTAAAAACTGGTCATATATGTGAAAATTCGGCAAAAATGACTTTTTTCAGAAAAAAATTTATTACTCCGCCATTTTTCAATATTAACGGCTAAAATTTTAGGATTGTACGCACAAGATACACCACTACCATAAAAAAATAACAGTATACGCCGATCTTTCAAAAAGTATATTTATTTTGCAAAATTACGGTTATGAGGGAAAAATGAAAACGTTGAGAAAACGAACGCTCAAAGCGCCGCCATGCGATTTTTCGGCTTCCTATGTAATGGAGTCACATCTCACACGTGTCTACTAGTGACAAATGTCGATACTTGTATCAATTTCAAATGTTTTAGACCTCTAATTTCACTTTTCCTAAGCCTTGGGGTACAAAGTCACCCCGTGTGGCCGCTAAGGGTTAAGGCTCTTAAAATATTCGAAAAATTCTGTAAAAATTCACACATATTCTTTAAGGTCTCTACTAAATTATTCTGCTATGCAAACATTGGAAAAAATGTTTAGAAAAATTATGAAAATTACTTTCTGCACCAGAAAAAGAAAATAATTCAGTTTTGATATAAAAATTGTAACTTTGCTATATATGTACCAAAAAAATCATTGTAGGATGTTTTTGTACAGAGATCATAATTTACAAAAAAAAATATTACACGAGCCAGATGCAAAAAAAGTGCAATTATTTGAGCATCTGAATATATTATATTTTTAATGTGGACAAATAGAGTATTTTTAAAGAAAAAACAGTTTTTGATTTTATTAAAGTACAAAAATGATTATTTTTAATGCAAACAGAAATATTAAAAAAGTGATTACAGAATATTAAATTTTTTTATGGTATGCTGTATATCGGTGATTTGTGGACTTCGCATATCGGCTTCCCGCAGTGAATACAGCAAAAAAAGTATAGACATAAAATAAGTCTATTCAATACAAAAATAGCAAAATAACTGAATCCACTTACTTGTGAAAAAGGCACCTTTCGACTATAAATATGGGTCTTTCCTCACGCAACTTTGCGACCGTGCTGCTCGATAACACAGAAATTCCTTATCGCCGTTGTTTCCCTATATTCCCCCCATCACAAAAATTTTTCCCGCGAAGAGGCATAGGACCATACACAGGTATATAAGAAATAAGAACTATTAGAAATAGCATGGACATGAAAGACCCATTGTGTCGTTCAAGGGCTATTATTATTTCTATTACACTAAAAAGTAATTTTACAAAAGAAAGAGGGATGTATGAACATATTTCATATATGGTTATACATGTTTACGAATATTTATGTATGTTTATATACAGGGTATCCGGAAAATCGAGGCCAATATTTTGGGAAGTGATTCAGGGTTATAATCATTTTTATGTTAAAAAATTGAAATTTGTTTCTCATAATTACAATCATAATTTATTTCACAGTGTTTCAACATAAATAATTATGTTTTATTTAAAAATTTTTTTTACTTTTTATTTTTTTATTTTCCGGTATTTATAAATATGGTTACTGCATTATTTTTAGATAAACAGGTTAAATAGAATTAAATGAAATGTAACAGATTAAATGAAATGTTCAAAATGACCACCTTCAGCACGAATGCAAATCCTTATTCTTCTATCAAAAGAATTCCGAACTCTTTGAAAAACAGTTGGTTCCCTCCTTATTTTTTCGAATCCGTGGATTATTCTTTATCTTAAGTCAGCAATATTATTGGGTGCATTTCTGTAAACTAGTGACTTTACATGAACCTATAGATAAAAATAAAGTGGATTCATATCTGGTGATCTTGGGGGCCAGGCAATCGGACCTCCACGCCCTATTCATCTCTGGCCATAATTTCGATTCAAATGATCTTTGGCTACACACGGCTAAAATGCGCAGGTGCACCATCATGCATGAACCACATGTTTTGACGTATTATATTAAAGGGACATTTTCAAGAAAGTGGTGGAGGCCTAACTCTTCTCTAAGAAATCGTACATGATTCTGACCGTTTAATTTCTCTTCAAAGAAATAAGGCTTTATAAGTTCGTTACCAATAATACCCGTCCATACCGTGCAATTAAACTGTTGTTGATGCCTCCTTTGATTAATCGTTGTGGAATTTTCTACAGCCCGTTGATAAAAAAATTGTGGATGAAAGTTGAAAATTCCTCCTTTTTGGCTCCCGAATCACTTTCCGAAGTATTGGTCTCGATTTTCCGGACCCTGTATATCTATACATATTCATGGATAAAAAATTTTTTATCGGATGGTTTATTCCTTAATATGCACTATATTTTCTCATCCCAAGTTTTATTAGGTTTTTTGGTACTAAAAAAATTAATTGTAGTAAATTGTAGTAAATTTTCTCATCCCAAGTTTTATTAGGTTTTTTGGCACTAAAAAAATTAATTGATGTAAATTGTCAATACGAAACGATTTGTAATACTACATTAAAAATACAGATAACGATGCAGAGATTTTTGGAAGATATTTTAAATTCATGACTAAATATACAAATTATATTGTTCATTTGTAATACAATTAAATTATAGAACTCATTAAGACAAATCATTTATTATCATTTAGATAAAGTCTTTTTTTTTGGATGGAGGAATACAAAAAAAACTTTTTATTTAATGAGATGTAATTTGTATATTTATTCATAAATATAAAATTTTTTCCGAAAATTTTTGCGTTTTTATTTCTGTTTTTAAATAGTATTACAAATTGTTTTATATTATTAATAGAATATTGATTTATGCATAGACATTTTTTATTATCAAAAACGTACTTAAAATAAATTTGAAATATGAAAACGTATAATAATCTCTTAAATAATCTTATAATAAATATAAAGGTTAGTGTTAAATTTACAAAATTTATTGTATTCTTTCGCGGTATAATTGTAGGAAATAGGTTTAATACGTTCGATATAATTGCGTCGAGTTAATTCTTGATAATTACACAAGGTCATAACTTTTGTTGCTCTGTTGTAAATAATAGAGTTATGTAGTTTAAATTTATGCATCATGTAAGTGTCTGAAAAGTCACATAAAGAATCTAACAAGAATTCTATTTTTTTAGAGACAGAAGTTTATTAAAAAATCTTACGAAAAACACACATCTGAGACTTTCTCAATTTTTCATATATTTTTTGTTCAAAATTTCAGGTAAGAGTAGAAATTTGTTTAAATACAACTCTTAAGTAAATTGAAGTACAAACAACATAAATAAACTATATATTGAAAATTAGTAAAAAATAGGAATTTCACAAGACTATATCTGTCATTTTCTATAATTAAAGCCGTGAAATCTACAAGATAGTAAGGAAAAGATTCACTAGAGTGACATAGGGTATTTATCGAAATCTTGTGAAAAATTACCTGAGTATTCCCGGACCTGAGTATTATTTTGATCTTAACTACCTTCTATATATATAGGTAAGGAAAAGATTCTCTAATCTTATCTGGAATTTTGACCCTAATTACCTTCTGGGTAAGATAAGATTTTGAAGCAACTTTAAAATAAAGGAGTGAAATTGAAGTGCGAGCAACGCAAATAAGATATATATTGAAAATTATTAAAAGACAGGGATTTTTCATAATAGATACAATTTTGACTGTATCTATCATTGTCTGTGATTGTAGAGCAAAACTTATAGGATAGTATAGGGAAGACGCACTACAATGTAATATCAGTGAACTATTCTATTCTGCTGAGTATTATTTTTTACTGTCACCCTGATTTTTTAAAATAAATCTCGCGAAACACACGATAATATATATGAATATATACGGATGTCTATACCATACTTATTGCTAATTGATTATCACGTTTTGTGTTATTAAGAAAAAATGATGAAAGAAAATGTTTTCAGAAACAAACAGAACTTAAATTTAAAAATAAAATTTCTATAACATTTCATTCGGACCTTTTAGCAAACAAAGGAAATTATTTATCGCGATCCATATCGTTTTGTTCATTGTTTACTCGAAAATTGAGACATATAATTTCAGACTTATTATCAAATAGGGATGAATTACGTAATATTTATAATATCTAATAATTAATATTTGTAATATTTGTAATATATAAGATATCGGCAGCAGGTGTTATTTTATTAATGAAATACATGATAGAAAAAATACAATCTAATAAAATATAAGTAACTAAGAATACTGTAGCATATTTAAATAATCCTATTCTCTTAGAAAAATTTAAACACTTTAAATATTGTCTATACGCTATTACTCTCTGTCATGATAACTGAAATTACTGCACTTTCTTATGTGAAGGACACTTATACGAAATCAGAGAAGGGAACGGACTCCCTCTCCCCCCCAAGAGGTATTTCTCAAAACAGCATTCTCCATATATATAGTCTGTAACGAACGATCCTGTACGCATAACGGTTGATACAGCTGAAAAGTACGGATGTGGAGCGAGTAACAGCGGTGCCTAACGGTGATCGGTTTGGACTGCAATTTCTTAGAGACGTGAATTTCGTTGCAACTTGAACTTAAAGCGATTCATCAGTATTCGTATCGTGACGAAAATATTAAATATATGATTGTTAACTAACGATTTTGTGTAACAATGTTATTTGAAACGACGTTGATTTGTGCCTTTATTGTGCTCGGCATCATTTGTTATCATAAAACGTGCTTGTGGTGCAACTTAAAATATTATTCTATTGGAATAAAGTATCATGGTCACGATGTATTCAACACGAGATACAATAAAATAGGTAAGAAAAAAAGGAAGGTATAAATTTTACATATTTTTACACATATATATTGCATCATTTAAAACACTCTCTGTACGGATGTATTGAGTGTTTTAAATGATGCAATACGTATATGTAAAGTTTTTGATGAAGACAAGAACAAATTATATTCGAAATTTTATTTGTATATCCCAGAAAAGGCATGTGCAAATAAAATTTTTAGCGATATTGCAGTAGAAATTAAATATTAAATAAATAAATGAATACGACATTACGTATACAAATATTTATGTATTAAATATTTTATTTTTATTTTATTTTGTATATAAATTGGAGTCATAATAAATTCTGGAGACATTGATATTATTGTAAATTATTGCAACTGAAAATATTTTGGTGGCAATTGCATCTTTTATTGTGTAAAATTATATTAACGCATAAAATTCTTCGTTCCCTTACAATCAGGAAAATATGAAAATTATTTTGAAATAAAAATAAAATCTTTTGCAATTGGATGATATTTAACAATATAACATTTAATTCTTCGTTTATGATACACTTTTTCAAAATTCGCTATTTATAAAATATATTTAATGAAGCATAATTTTTAATATTACATAATTATAATGTTTGTTTTATTTGGTTCATATTCTTTTTTAGATTTATTTCCAAAGCCGAATAGAATTGCAATTGTAACTGGTGGTTCTAGAGGTATAGGAGCGAAAGTAGTTAAGCAATTGTTACAGTGTGACATGGAAGTTATACTCGGTAAATTATTTAAGTTATTGTCGATGTAGTATTATTCTACAACACTATAACATGTCAATACATGGAAATATGATTAGCTTGTAGAGTAATTAGCTTGGGTGAAAATATTATCCACCAGATTAGAGAATCTGGTGTCACTAGTGGACGAGCAAAAGTTTATAAGCTTGATAATTCCTCTCTCGAATCAGTCAAAAAATTTGCAAAGCAAATAAAAGCGGATTATGATAAAATTCATGTATTAATTAACAATGGTAAGTAATTGGACATTTCAACTCTATTCTAATATAGAATGTTGATTGCATGTAAAAAAGATTATTTTTTTTTAGCTGCTGTTATGTTTCCTACTAGCTATAAAAATACAGAAGACGGATACGAAGAACAATGGATGATAAACTATTTATCACATTTTTTATTAATGTCTCTTCTTCTGCCATTATTGAAAACTGGCGGGCATCCGGAAGAATGTAGTAGAATTGTTAATGTTACTTCATGCGCTCATGACCTCGGCACCATAAATTTTGATTACATCAATAATTTTGACAAGTAATCATAAAAATATTGTTAAATTATCTTTTTTAATTTATTTTCAATGATGAATTTAGGATTATTCGCTAATGTATGGCATGTGAATTTTTCTTAGAACTTAAACAATTATTTTATTATGCAGGAAAATACTTTGTAGGCATGATTCGTATGGACAAAGTAAATTAGCACAGACAATGTCTACGATAACATTGCAGAAACTCTTTAAAAACAAATCGTTGAATATATTAGTATATTCCGTGCATCCGGGTATAGTAAAAACAGATTTATTCCAAGATACTGTATTAGCCTGGAACAAATGGCTTATGGTTGGATGGAAGGTAAGAATATATACCAAATTTTTCAAATTCTCCAAACTATTATCAATCAATTCATTGTTACTTTACTGTCGCAGACAGCTGATCAAGGAGCAACGCCAGTAATATATGCTGCAATTAGCAAAGATCTTGAAAAAAAAGGTGGGATATATATTAGTAATTGTAAAGAAATGGCTGTTCCTTCGTTAGCACTCGAAGAGGAAGTTCGGGAACGATTATTTGAATTATCCTTAAAACAAACACATTTAAAAAATTTTTTCCAATATTTGTAACGAAAATATACACAATATTTCTTATTCCATGTCTTATTAAATAATTTGTGCGTCATTGAATATATCGCGCACACTTATTTCAATAAATTTATATTAAAAATTAATATTTTTTTACATTTGAAACATTCATGCGATGTATCTATTCTAATTCTAACTGTAAGAAAATGCAAATAACCGATTACCCACGCAACATCATTGAACATGTATGAAAATATTGGAAAAGATGACAGACGATAAACTTTAGAGACGTAAAAGAATCCTTTTAGTTAAATCATTCTTTACTGAAATGAGATATATATATATATATATGTACATATATATATATATATAATGAAGTTTTTTTTGACATGCAAATATTCCTATTCTATTTATGAATAGATGTTATGAATAGATGTTATTGCTGTTGGATGACCTTTACATAAATAAATATTAAGTACATTTTTTTTTAAATAACATACGCAACATTTCCTTCTTCATAATGTCAATTATTTTTTTCTCGTTTATATTATAAATAACTGTTTATCGGAGATCATATATTTTGGCAATCTAGCAAGTTATAATTTATGATATTAAAAAATGGTAATTCTATTCAGGTTCGGATTTAAGAATGAATTAATATACAGGGTGTTTCAAAATTCGCCCATAAAGAATAAGACGTAATATTTTATGCTAAAACAAACAACTTTTTCCTTTAACAAAATTGTGTTCGATAAATAATTTTTGCGTTTATTTGTTAACTTCAACCTGTTCTCCTGCAAAAACTACTTATCGGACGCAATTTTGCAAAAGGAAAAAATTATTTCTTTTAGCATAAAGTATCACGTATTGTACTTCGCCAGCACGAATTTTGGAACACCCTGTATAAAAAAAAAAGCTTCGCTTTTATGCAGGAATATTTCATTTTAGGTGTCTAAAATAATGCGCAAAAGAAACTAACAAAATTTAAAGGTCAATACGAATCTTATTTTAGACCGTACATGTAAGAACACAACCAATACAAACTAGAAATTAAATGCCTATACCTGTAGTCGAAGCTAGATCTTAAATAATTCGATGTGAATTATATACTATATATGTACAGACGGAGATAGATATGCCTTAACACCTAAAATTGTACGAGTATTGGGACACATTAGCGTACTCTGAATGTCTCCCAATACTCGTACAATTTCAGGTATTAAGGCATATCTGTCACCGTCTGTACATGCATTCATGCATATTTACCATATTTATAACATTCGAACTGCGCGCCGAATTGGTGTTCCAGACTTATAAATGCAATTGAATAACTGTAATATTATCACAAGTTAAATTAAACTGACAAGCAATTTTTAATAATTTAATGCTCAATCAGGCACCATATTAGAAAGATGTTAATGTACTGAAAAACTGTAAATAAATTTATTGCAAAAAATATTACCTCGGCCTGAAGTTAAACCCGGATCTCTTGTATTCCGTCCTAATCCTTTAGACTTTAGACTACCGAGGTGAAACATTAAAGATCCAACTTCGACCGGTATAGGCATTTAATTTCGAATTCGTATTGATTGTGCTTTCAAAGCCATAATATATATTTTTTTAAGAAACAAGAAAAGACATAGACATCAAACCTGATTTTAATTTTTGACTGTCGTAACTTCATTGCGAAATCTACGTATAATGAGCTAGAAATATACAATCATTAAGCAATAAAAATGTTAGCTAAGCAGGCTGAGCTATGAAAATTAATGGAGGTGATCAGTATGCAGACGTGACAAGCTGATGATTTAAAGTACCTGTTTACTCATCACTATATTATTTCAGACTGTGACTTCAGAAGCAAGATCTAATGTTGCAATCTGAAAGTAATGAGTGAATAGGAGCATAATTTTCCTGAACGTGAACTTTATTTGACTATATTAACTATATTAACTTCACACACGCGCGCGCGCGCGCACACATACACAAGCGCTTACTGCTTATTCTTTAACTATTACAACACAGACATTTTCATAATCAACTTTAATTGCTTAAGTACTCTGCAACTGTTGCGAGACACAGACATTTTCATAATCAATAATATAAATAAAATATTTTATTCAATAATATTCTTGAGGCTTCCACGGGTGCTTTCTATATAAAGATTATGCGTTTCGCGAGTTTTCTCCGTGTCCAGATCCATTCTTGGTATGATACTGATCAGACTCCTCGCCCTGATGAAGTGGATTGCAAGGTTCACGTTGGCATACCAACCCGCATAAAAATATACTACTAATGCATAAGTAAATTCGACAAGTGGTGTCACTAATAATGTAATAGTGGTGAAGAAAATTTCATTAAAATTTCACTGAAATTTTAATGAAATTTTTTATCGAATTTACTTATTGCATTAATTACACTAGTAGTATATTTTTATGCAGGAAGAATGGATCTGAACACGGAGAAAACCCGCGAAACGCATAATCTTAATATTTTATTCAATATTTTACGTAGCAGTATGATTTCGATGCGCGTGTATTAAGAGAGATTTTTTTATATTATATATATATTATATAATATAAAAATACAGAAATTCGTATTTAAAAACTTATGTAAATTTCAATGAAAATATATCTGATATAAATCTTGTATGTAACTTAGTAATAAATTTTGATTGATTTTTTTATATTAGAAATATATGTGTGATATAAATTTGTATTGACTATATAATTTTTATAAAATCTACTATAAACTAAGGACAAACGTGCATTGTCCGTGCATTGTTATGTATTCTAACCTCTACAGGGCGTCCAAGATTTGCGAATCAAAATACTATAGCAAGAAAGCTCTCAAAAAAATACATTTAAAAAGTACTTGCCATTTTTCGTTCCAATCAATAGTTTTTAAGATATAATGATTCGAAATTTGCCAATTATACAAGTCATAGTCTAGTGTAATTTATTTTTTTTTTAAACTTTCTTGCTGTATTTTTTGATTCGCAAATTTCGGAACGCCCTGTATATATAATTTTCTATTAATACGATAACACAATATTAATCTCATACCAAGAAAATTGATATATATGTTTTGACTAATATAGTTTTTATTACAAGTCGTGATTTATATTATGCATTATTAATAACTTACACTATGTAATTATAACAAAACGTTTTTGTAACATAAAATCTTTGGAGTAATTTCAAACCGAATAGCTAGTGTATAAACTTAACTATGTTAAAAAGATCTTAATTACAGGTATCGAAGAAAGGAAAATACTTGAATTTTTATATAAATATCTAACCTACATATAAGTTATGCATTTTCTGAGGACTTATGCAAATTTCATTGAGAATTACTAGATAAATAAAAATCAGATATGTAACAATTTCAAAGACTAATTTAATTTCTTTTTTGCTGTAAAAAAAGGTAAATGTTTGTCTCACACAATGAATTCATACATACAACTTACATAAAAGAAACAATCTATAATGATAATTAATACTAATAAACTAGACTATTTAAAAAATTAGAAAGTATTAGCTAACAAGAAATTCATAATAAAATACATATTACTTATAACGGTTATATTGGTACATATAGAGTATAAAAGAAATGTGAAAAAAGACTAGACAGTTTAATATCATACGAAATGTATATAGAATAATTAATACTCAACCACATATTGTTTATAAGATCCATAGATTATAAATTAAATATAACAAAGATCTGATCATATAAATGCTAAAAGTTATTTAATAATATTTTGTTATCACTTTTTAAAATTATTACTAAATTCGTAAAAATAAAAATTATTTTCGTTGATTATTGTATGCAGAGTTACAATGTCATTTATGTTTTAATTTTAACATGCTGTTAGGAGCACATTGTGAGCTGTCTTCTTCAAAATAGTTGTGATAAACACATATAAATATTGCACGTTAGAAATAACTTTATACATCGTAGGCTTGTGTGACGTGTTGTAAAAATCTTATTACTACTAATAAGATTTTGGACAAGTTACCAAAATCCATTGTGGTAATAACTATTTGTACTTTCGAAGTAACAAAAAAGAAATACTACAATTATATTAAATAAAATTTCCATTGTATATGGAAATGAATGCTTAAACAATTTAATATATATCAAGCAGTATTAGTTTAATTAAATAAAACGCGCGATAAGAGAGCGTAAAACTGCGCTATATATCTATAAAAATTTAATGTCCTAAAAGCTAGAGTGCTTAATGATATATTTAAATTCTTGTTTTAAATATTAAATATATCTTACAACATAGTATAAAGCAACGTAGCATATAATATCATAACACTAAACAATAACACTGTATCAAAGATATACGTGTACTATACGTTCCCTAAATTATCAAATATTGATACGCTCGATTTCAATCACCGTGTCTATAAAAAAAGGTATAACATACAAAAATTATTTAAGAGAGTCTGCTACAACCGCAATTACTACTATCACCGATTGACGTCGTTTTACCGTTTATTGAAGTTGTATTCGTTTCATACCGAGGTAATTCCTTACAGCGTGCTTGCTAAAATAACATACGAGCACTGCAAAATGTTCTAAAATGAAATAATCTTAAATAAAATACGCTCGCTTACCTCCATAAGTTCAGCTGCTATTTCCATAAATAATCTCTCTACGTTTTCCGCTTCTTTAGCGGACGTTTCTAAAAAGTACATGCCATGCCTTTGTGCAAAATCCTCTCCCACGTGCGTCGGTATCTCTCTATCTTCTCGATCAATTTTATTCCCTAATTAACATATAGAAATTGCATAATTTCTCATTGATAGGAGAGAGACACACATGTCCTCATATGTTAACTTATAATCTTTATATTTTTCATTTACCTACTAATATCCTAAGAACTTTATTACTTGCATATTCTTCGATTTCTCTCAACCAATCTAGCAAACAATCGAATGTAGGTTGACAAGAAATATCATAAACTAATATCAATGCATGTGCTGATCTATAATAACTTTGAGTAATGGAACGAAATCTTTCCTGACCTGCAGTATCCCATATTTGCAACTGAAAAAAACATTTAACAGTAGATTATATATATCTAACACACATGTCGCATATAGATTGTATACCTTAACTTTTTCATTTTCCACTTCAACAGTTTTAATCATAAAATCAACTCCAATTGTTGCACCTTGTCCAGGTGGAAATAAACCCTGCAAATTAAAATATTCACACTAAAATCATAGAAATCATATAAAATAATCGCACTAAAATTAAACATGCCAATATCACTTCAATGTCTCTGCTAAATTGCATATCCATTTAATGATGCATTTTTCATCATTTTGTAATTTTAGCATATGTGTCACCTAAGACGTTATAAAAATAGTGCTCAGTAATGCATTCTATTATAAGAGATGACTAGAGTTTTGAGAGTCATCTCTTAAAGATCTCCCAATGGAAATAAATTTTAGAAAGTTTCGGGGAATATAGGCTGGCATAAAATATGAACTGAAAATACGACGCATCGAATGGTACCCATCGCAGGCAAATAAACCACGGTAGATCGGCTTCAAAGTAACGTTCCACATATGTAGATGACATCATCTCCAGGATGCATAAATAACGAATTTTCCACCCTTTCCAGGAAATGCGTTCGTGCATGAATTCTGCACGCGAGGGAGAAGATAGGGGGGTCCCACGAGAATGCCTCTTGTTCGACAACGAGCTCTCGCTCGAGGTTTTCGTAACCCGTGACGGGAAAAGAGAGAAAAAAAAAAGAGAGAGAGGAATCGCCGACCGGAGGACGTCACGTCGACGCACCTGAGTGAATCGTCGCACCAGGCAGGTCTTGCCCACACCGGCGTTCCCCACGAGCACGACCTTGAAGAGAAACTTGTAGTCCTCCATGTTCTCCACTGTCCGGCACCAGGAGGCGGAGGTCCGCGCTCGCGAGTCGCCCGTTCAACAAGGACGGCGCATCCGTGCGATACGGGGGGGAAAGGGGGAGGGGGGAGGGACTTTCCGACACCAACCGCGGCACCGCCGGACTTTCCGCAAGCGTTCACCTCGACGGCAGACCGCGCGAATGTCACGCACGCTGCACGGGCTGCACGCACACACACGGACCACGGACCTACGCGCGCGCTCACCTCGGTTTCGCTCTCGACAGTCTCGAGGAAGGGAGAGATAGAAGGAAAGAGAGAGGGGATCGAGAGAAACCGACGGCGACTACCTCGGCATCGTCGCCGCGCTCACCGCTACACGCGATCCTCACTTAGCTTTCGAGAATCTCGCGTCTTCTTCGGACGCGATCGACATTGTTGTTGGTTATGTATATAGACTCCCCATTGGACGAACTGCAGGAGACGCCTCTCCCTGTCGCGGTTTTTCCATCTTGATCCGTCCCGGAGAGGCGCCATCTATCACCATCCTCTCGGCCCTTTCACTATCAACCTTGAGTAAATTTCCGTTCGGGTAAATTTCTCAACAATGGAGCTCCCGGGACCCGGAAAGCTCTGACATCATCTGTCATTTTTGCTGCTCAAAGATGTAAGCAAACAAAAACAAATGTCTTCTTAACTCATCCACACTCACTATTTTATATATTTAGATAATATAAAAAAAGTGCAGGAAAATGCGAAAGATATAGAAAGTGTACATGTGAGAAAAACGGAGTCATTACTGTCATTAGTATATATCAGTACATATACTGGGTATAATTTAATAAGACTCCACACACAACAAAATCATTCTCGAGGAGTCGAATTTGAGTTTGACAATCAGAGAAACGTCAGGAAAAGATGAGACGAAAGGCGGGAGTAGGTGCGATACAAAAACAGAAGCTAGAGCAGGAGAAGTACCGAGACAAGGGCACGGAAATCCAGGAAAACCAATTCGAGCAGATGACCAAGCACATGGAAACGTTTCGTGTGAATCTTGAGGAGTTTGCTTCAAAGCACAAGAATGAGATCAAGAAGAACGCGCAGTTCCGACGCCAGTTCACAGAGATGTGCGCTTCGATTGGTGTGGACCCTTTGGCATCTGGCAAGGGTTTCTGGTCGGTGCTGGGCATTGGCGACTTCTACTACGAGTTGGCTGTCCAGATTGTCGAGGTCTGCATGGCGACCAACTACAAGAACGGTGGTCTGATATCGCTAGACGAGCTGAGAACACGTTTGATTCAGGCCAGAGGACGTAGAAAGGAGCATCAGGAGATCACCAATGAAGACCTGCTAGCTGCCGCGAAGAAGTTGAGAATATTCGGAAATGGCTTCTCCGTAGTTCCCATTGGTAGGGGAAAGCACTTGGTACAATCGATACCTGGTGAACTCAGCATGGACCATACTGCAGTATTGAGTCAGGCTAGCTTGTCCACAAACGCCTACGTCTCCAAGTCTATTCTGTGTAAAGAATTGAGATGGGAGGAGGACAGAGCGCAAAAGGCTTTGGACCACATGATGAAAGAAGGACTGGCTTGGCTGGACAGACAAGCGAAAGATGAGACGTTGTATTGGTTTCCTAGTTTATTCACAGCTTGCATTGTTTCCAAAGAATGAACTCGGTGTCAATATCAATGTTATTAAATAGATAGGTAATAATTTAAAGAAAGAATTAACGTTGCTTGTTAAGGTTTGTATCTCTTTGGTCCGTAAAGCCAATCGCTCTGTAATATTTACAGTATCTGAGATGTGTTGCGATCGTTTTATACTTATAAGTATAGGACATTGTCACCTGGTCTCAGATTCTTGTATATAACTAAAATCACAAAAAAAGAAATATAAGTAAAAAGAAGATGCCATTTTGATATGACTCAATTTCTCTAAGATTTTATACAAACCTAGGTTGAATAGTATCTGTTTTAAATTGAGTAAATTGCTGTTTGCAAAGTGCTTTGTGTAATTCGGCATTCTCTTTTCGTAATAAACTAATTTTTCCACGTAATTCCTTAGACTTTACTTGGAATTGTGTTGTCAAAGATTTTGCTTCATCTCTCCATCTAATCAAATTAAATCAAATTTTGATTATTTAGCCAGATTTTAGATAGTGGCACATTTAAACTTTTTACCTTCTGCTTAGTTTTTGATGAATTGTCACATGCTGCGTCATCTCTCTTATTTTCTTGTCAAAATGTTCTTGTTGTTTATTCAATTGCTCAGTTAATAGAGACTGCCAGTTGGAATCCATATTTTCAAATCTGGAAAAGTATCCAAAGTGAAAGTTATTTATTTTATGTAAGTACAGCTTTGGCCATATGTATAAATTTATTGCATTTTCTTGAAAAAGGTGATAATAAAAGCCAAAGAAGAATTAACAAAATATTAATATTATTATATAAATAAATAGTATTTTTCAATAAAACTGTTTTAAAATTTATTTTTCGTTAAATATAAAATATTTCAATTTGTGGAGGTGCCTTATACTTTTGGCCAAGGCTGTATAATTATAGATGTATTAAAATGTTGTATAATAAAATTATTTACCTTATATCCAAAGTATGTTTGCTTGTATCCGCTCTATGTTGCGAGACTTGCATTGGAGAAATATTGATGCCCGATTTACCCTCTGTTACGTAATTCTCTTTCAAAAGATTTGCTTCTAATTCACGGATCTTAGTTTCCAATGAGCATCGCTCGTAATCTCTCTTATGTATTTCACGGTCAAAAGCCGATTGTAGCGATTTCAATTCTGTCGCCAGGGACTCCTTATCATCTGTAGCTTTGACTAATTGGCCCTCCAAATTAATGTAACGATCGATCGCGTCCTTCGTTCTTTCATCGGCCAACTTGATGCGATCTCGTATATCCACGGAGTTCTGTTGTTGAAGTTGCCTCAGTTTCTCATTCGAAGTTACTAACTTCTCTTCCAAATTAACAATCTTTTCTTGCAGCTGCTGCATCTCTAAATTATATTGTCTCTTGCACATTTCGTTACAAGCCTCCAACTTGGAGTCCGTCTGTTTCAATGCTTGTTCGAAGGTTAAAATCTTCGCGGTCGATTTTTCCAATAAATCTTCGGAATCTCGACGCATCTTCCCCAGTTCCTCCTCTGCCAATCTGCTCTCTTTTTGCGATCGATCCAATTGCGTCACCTTTTCCCGTAATTCTGCTTTTAACTGTTTGATCTCTGACAAATATTGCTTCACGTTATGCTCATGAGCATCTTTCAATCTAGCAATCTCCTCTTGCATCTTAATGGTGTGTTCTTTGGCAATGGAGGCCAATTGAGTTTCTAACCTGGTATTCTGTTCTGCAATTTGAGCTTCTTTTTGAAGTACAAAGTCCCTCTCTTTTACAGCAGATTCTACTAGATCAAGGGCTTCGGCCATCTTGCACCTTGTTTCTTCGTACTTTGCCATAATATTACTGACTTCTCTTCTACTTTCATTCAGTCTCTTCTCTAAGTCTGATTTGAAATGATTTATGATCCGTATCTCTGCTTTCGCGGCAGATAATTCTTCCGTTAACAATTGTACTTTCTGCTGACCATTCCTGTCTTTTAAATAAAATTACTGATATACTATCTCTCTCTTTCATATCTCGAATTAAATACTACATAAATCACCGACCTTTCTGTTGAGAGTCTTGTTGAAGTTCCTGAAGTCTTGTTGCTATTTCCTGTTTTTCCCGCTTTAGAGCTTCTATCGTCTCTTTACTAGACATCCACATTGACTGATGCTTTGCAAAATTTTCCTTAGCCTGAAGTAATTTACTCTCTAAAGCTTTTATAGCTTCTGAATATGATTGTCTGATGTTTTTCAATTGCTCCTCATAAAACATGGCATTGCTGTTGTCCATTGGACGAGTTTTTAGTTCTTGCTCTAAAGTGTCCACAGCTTTCATTGACATTTGGTACAATTGGACCGCAAAATCCTTCTCCATTTGTAGGACTGTGATATGCTCTTTCAAATTCATGACCATTTTATTGTGCACATCTTCGTTGCCACATTGTTCTGAGTGAGCACATGAAATATAATCACGTATGGCATCACTACTATTTTTATTCTCAACATACAAAACTTGTAACTCAGAACGAATGCCGGCTTGTTCTGTCTGTAAAAGATATATGTATGTCGTATATAGAATTGTTGCTATCCAAGATTCCTATTTTATAACTCTTGATAGTATCATTATATTGTCATTGCACAACTTTTATGTCATCTTTCTAATCTTATATTCTCTAAAACTTTTGGAACGAATCTTACTCTTAAGGAGTGAAATCTTACTTTTAAAGATGGAAAATTATTTTTCAAGCTGAACTCAATTTTCATTCTTTAGAGTAAGCTTCTACTCCCAAAAATTTAAAAAGTATTATACTACATAACAACAATGCAACAATATCAACACTGTCGTTAAGAATTACAGAATAGCAGTACTGATAAAATATAGAAGTCATAACTATCAGGATATAATTGTTTTTAAGTGATAAATAGAGTCATTATAACATTCTTCTAATATCATATAGTCTCTGTGTTCTACCTGGGAATGTAGTTTATGTAAGAATAAGATACAATTGGAAGAAAGAAACATATCCCATTACGTTAAACAGACTATTATAATGATAAATAAGAAGCTTACTTTGCACGTTTCCAACTCCCGTTTAAGTTCTTCAACAATGTCATTGTATTCTTGAAGAATAACATGATGTTCTCTGGAATATAAAAGAATAGTTATCTTTTATCTAAACATCAAAAGTATATACTCAAGATTTCCTAACCACACTCACCCGCGTTTCAGCGCGTTGTACTCCGAATCGAATTTTTTTGTTTCAAACATTTTTCTTTTACAAAACTCATTAATTTACAAAAGGCAAATCAGTTATTATTAAACAATTTTATTTCAATATCTAAATTATTTCCATTCAATTGAATCAACAACTATCCGTAACATGGTCGTATAAACACAACACACTACATCTATATAATTGATTTGACACACACGTATACGTATACCATACATAATTACGTATATTACGTATATACATATAGATATATATTGATGTGTATATTTTTAGTGGTAAAAATGCTCAAAATTACGAACATTTGATGATACAGAAAATATTGATTAATATATTTTTTGTCAATAATTATCTACGGCGATATATCGATAATTTATATAATAAATTTATGATAATTAAAGTAGTCTGTTCTTCTTCTTCTGGCTTCCTCTTGATTGGTTTTCCGACTCAAGCATAGAGTCACAGTGCCATGCAGAAATAACGGATCTTTCGATCCAATAAATAGCCTCCTCGGGGAGCAGAGACCTCACTTCAATTTTTGAATAAATTCTTAATTTGAGGTTATATTGGAGGTCTTGTCAGTGCTTTGAACCCACAAAGCTAAAAAACTCCATGCTCCAAATACTGGGATAGTTGGACAATCTAAGGGCAATTGCATCCCTATCAAGGTATATTGCATTTTCATGGCCGCTTAAACCTTAGAACATATATAAATGAAAGGGGTAAAGGTGCAGACACATGGAGCCGTCAAGCGTCAAGCAGCAGAAGCAGCAACCAATCAGCTGGACGATACTGGCAGTGGTGTAAAAAATATTTTTTACGCCACTGAACTTATCGTCTCGCTGATTGGTTGCTGCTTCCGCTGCTTGACGCTTGACGGCTCCATGTGTCTGCACCTTTAGGGGAATAGGGCGCTTGAATGTGAAGCCAACATCTGTGCGATAGAGAAAGTAGTAAAGGATAAATATTCGCAATGCGCATGCGCATTGCGCAGCACCGTCATCTATGTGAATTGTGCAGTTGGTTTAATGTTTCTTAAGCTGGAAACACAATAGACGCAGGAAACAGGGAATAACGAGCCGTCCAATCAGAGCTTTGGGGTATAAATTCGATATTATATTCCAGAGCTCTGATTGGACGGCTCGTTATTCCCTGTTGCCTATGCCTATTGCCTGTGTCTATTGTGTTTCCAGCTTTACACATTCGTACATTACACAGATGTGTATAGGTGCTATTACATGGAAGCGTCGAGCGTCGAGCATCTGCACAGAAAATTATTGCGCAGAAGTTTGAATTTCCAGACTCCTGCGCAATAATCTTCTGCACAGCTTCTTGACGCAAAATGGTAAATTATGAAAGGTTATGTTCTGATATACACTACTATCTTAACATATAATGCTGAAAATTTATATTTATTTACATTATATAGTGTAAACTACAAGATTCAACTATTAGTATATCTCGTACATTAAATTCAATTTCAGTAAAATTATTAAACATTTTACTGTGCATGCTCTGACCGCTCTGACGCTTGGCGCTGCCATGTAAAGGCACCTTTAAATGTGATGCTGCGCATGCACATTGGGAACATTTATCCCTTACTACCTTTCTCTCTCGCACAGATGTTTGCATCAGCGCGAGCCATGGGAAGTATAGGCAATGTCCCTTCCATTTATATATGTTCTAAGGCTTAAACTGGCCGTTTCAGCGAGAAGGGAATCACGTGGTTAAAATTGCCGAATAACAATGGCTACGTTCAGCAGAGAAACCAGCTTTGCAACTGTTGTAAAATTCTTCAATATGATTGGTCTTGCTCGTAGTTCCTCATTGGATCTAAATG